AAAAATCAAACTAAATAGCTAGAAATAACTAAATTGTCAGAATAGAGGAAATTAGACTTTAATTTATTGTAGAAGAGTAAGCCAAACAGAAGCAAATTCTTGACCACAGTGCAATACAAGGGCTTGAAGCTCAAGGACCTCTCGAAGAAAGGGTTGTGACTTTGTAGTAGCAAAATTTTCTTTAAAAGTCTATATGTAAAAGTTGTTTAAGCTCTTAACCTAAATCCCACTGGACAGAGAACTACTTGTCATCTATTATGGCAGACACATAGAAATTTGCTCTATGAAAGTTAGGTCTGGAAGTTTTCTACCCTTGAGGTGTAACTAAGTGTGAGACTGCTATACAGAAAACAAGCCAAATTAAGTATAATTCTAGATTGTGAAGAGTGAAATCCTCATCTTCTCTACATAATTCCCAGAGACATGCTTCCTTGGTTGGAAAATTACAGATGTACATCTAAGGAATTTGGCCAAAAATGTAATAAAAATTTAAACAGGACCTGTTGGATGATATCTAAAGTTAGAGCAGTCAAGACACTATACTCTTTAACTTGTCCATCCTTGGCCAACTCCAGGTAGTTGTTGCCCAAATTATATTGCATTGCTCCAGTTGGTGTTAGAGTATGTGAAATATAGAAAATAGAAGATCCTACATAGGAGAACATTGAAGAAATTCCAAATTTCCTTAATATGAGAAAGCCCCAAGTTGAGAACTTGAAGAAAACCTAGAAAGAAGACCAGTTTAGAGTATAGGAGACAGATGGCAGCCTCCAGGAGGAACAATAGATGGATAACTGATGGGTTGGTCATATTCAGAGAATAGTTTTTGTTATTTGATAAAGTTTTGTTGAATTGGTGAAAAGTACATAAAAATCAAGCAATTGATAAAAGCTAGTTATTCATTCCATAGAAACCCTCAAATCATAGAGAATCACAAGCTTAATGCACTATATGTCTCAATTATAAAATGATAATTATAAAAGCATAAAACACGAACATTCCTCAAATATAACTGCTTTGAGTATATGGGAGGGTTAAAGTTTATTTAACTGAGAGAAATAAGTCTCCATTCTCCATTTTTCATTTAATAAGTTGATATACATTGTCCAAAATTGAAAATTTAAGTGATATAAAGCATATTATTTAGAAATATGAAGGAAACACCACAGATGGTGAGAAAAGAGTTGAAGTAAAGGCACATGGATCATGAGACCCAGTGATTTCATAACCTGAATCTCTACAAAGATCCAAAACACTTTGGTGATTCAGAATATGGAATTCAGAAATGTTCAATATAGAGAAGCAATGCAATGCAAACATAATATTTATTGTATAGCACTTCCAGTGAAGTTTTAGGCAGCTCTTGTTAATCATATTCATATTTCTGATATTATGAATTTGAATGATCATAGTTCATAGACTATATAAAAAAAAGATCTTGCATAGTCTTAGGTAACTGGTAAGACTTTGGCTACCAAATTGATTTTTTTTTAATTTTTCAAAAACTTGGAAAATTTGAATTAAGGAGAGAATTTTTTTTACATGTTTGAAATTTTATTTTTAAAATCATCTATGTGTTATCATTTGATAACAATATAGATCTATATTTAAATGGCAGATAAATAAATAGTAAACTATCATAAAATGAGAAAGAATTAAAGATGACTTGACTAGTCATTTTCAGATAAACATACAGTTTATAAAATACACCTGATGCAGATATGTAAGAAAGGGCAGAATATGTCTTGGATTTGGTGCTCAAGTAGCTAGATAAAAAATGAACCAATGCAATTCATATGAGTATAAACAAATCCATAAAACTAAATATATAAAACAATAAATTCAGATTATTATAAAATAAAATATAATAATGCAACATTAAATTGTTAAATCACATGAGAGTATATTAAACTTACAAAAGGACTCACCATGATTAATATAGAGAGAGTATGGAGTAGGTTGACAATAGTCTCAGAGTACTACTCTTCTTAATGATTTTAGTGTTTCCACATCAGAGTCTACATTATGATGGAAAGGAATAACCTAGCAGGCCTGGGTTGCTCAAACTGTACATTCCCAAGACTGTTTTGTCAGGACTGACCCTTGGCTGACTTCTGAGAGCTGAGCTTTGGAAGGTTTTGCCTGACAAATGTTTTTGTATGCCTGCCTGCTTAGGCCATGTTGTGCCATTTTGACCAGATAGTTTATGCTAATGATATGATTTATAGTGGACACCTGCTTTTTCAAAACTGTAGGGCTCTGGAATTTCTGAGTAGCAGAGTAGCTGAAGACACAAGTCATATTCGATGCTCCACTGATCACCAATAAAAACTCTGGCACCAATGCTCTGGTCAAGTTTCTAGTTAGCAATACCTCACACATGTTTTCACACATCATTGCTAGAAAAATTCAGTTTCTCCTATGAGCCTGCACTGGGAGAGGCACCCAGACCTTCCAATATATCTTTTCCCTTTTCTGTATCCTTTTATTGTCATGAGCTATAACCCTGGACATAAGAGCTTCTGAATGCTGTGGGTTCACCAGGGAACCACTGAGTCTGAGGGTGGTCTTGGAAATATTACCATCAACGTGAAATTTGACACTACTGAAGCATGCATGTTTTTCTGGTGCCAGAAAATTAGGTTTCTAGGACTCCTTTCTTCAATTGAAGTTGCCAGTTATTGGTACTCTCATTTATCATGAATTTCTTTCAACTTTGGATATTATGCTTTGTTATTTTAGATAATTCCTAGCCCGCTTGAAGTTTAAAACTTTACCATTTGTAGAATCAAGCAATGACTAACTGCCATCCTGATGTTGTCTAAACAGATCTATCACATCATTAGTTTTTTAGTTGAAACTTAATTCTGAATTTTGCTGTGATTCCCATAGAGGAGTATATATCATCATCAAAGACTATCCTATTAAAATGAGACAGAGTCTGGGAGAAACTGTTAATCCTTCCAGCTTACTTCAAGGTGGCCAACCTAGCACAATTTCATTTATGCAAAAGGTAATGTAAAATTGATAGCAACCAGTACCAAGAACAAATACACATTGCTTGTTATCTAATTTATAGAACTGTAGCGCAGACTAACTAAAATAAGGCATATGAAAAGGGCTTTATTAACACAGTGGTGCTAGTCATTGGCATTATTAAGAATTTATAGATTTAAGCAATTAACAACTGGATCAATTTGTTTCTTTTACTCAAGTCTGACTCTCTTCAGCTTCACCCTTGGAAAGAGGAACCTTCTGAGATTGCCCCTGTCTAGATGGAATCCCAGTGAGAAAGGAAAGGATTTTTAGAGTAATATCCTGCTAAACAAGCTAGAAATAAGGCTTCCCCAAAGTCAGGCTCCGTAAATTCCTCTTGAATTTTATGTTACCAGATAGTTGAAATAGACCACATACCCAAAGGAGCTTCTAATTTGAAGAATAATTAGAGCAGATACTTTCTGACTAATGAGACTGTGTTTTCAAGGTTGAGCACAAAGTGTGGGGAGACTAAATTTTTTTGTATGTAAACAAAGAAGCATCTGCCAGGATCATTAACTGAACCCTCTTCTCTAATACATCACTGTTTTATTTGTTCTGTCTTTGAGCAGTTGCTTCTGCCAAGCATGCCCTGCCCCTTGCTGTGCTGTCTGGTCCTTCTGCCTCTAGTTATAGGAACAAGAAGCAATCCTGCAGGGACAGCATCAAATCTTTTCCATCCTGCTGTGTTTTCAAAAATCCGTTTTTATGAAAATGAATGTCAACTGTACAAAAAGATGACTGTGACCATAAAGAGAATACCTGGAAAATAACTTTCTGAATAAACATGTTTTATTTTCCTAGTAAGAAGTGATACATTGTAATTTGTAAAGGAAAGAAACAATCTCTGGACTTTACAAATCTCCTACTCCTTTTTTGTTTATCTTAGGTCTCACTTGCAGAAGCCTCCTGGCACTAAGAAGACGGGAATTCAGCCTTCTTTCCTCAGTGGGGAATCTGCAGATAACCTTTTTATATGTTCTTATTTTTAGTACTGGGGATTGAACCCATAGGCATTTTACTGCTGAGCTACATCTCCAGTATTTTAATTTATTTTTTTAAATTTTGAGACAATCTGGCTACATTGCTTAGGGTCTCTCTTCGGTGCCCATCCTGGGCCTCAAAACTGCAATCCTTCTGCCTTAGTCTCCCAAGGTGCTGAGATTACAGATGTGTGCCCTGGTGCTTGGCTAAATCTGCCCTTTTAAAGAGAGAAGAAGATGTTGGCATGACTCAAATTACAGAATGTAACAACATATGAATCTGCATTTTCTTATCTTTGTATTTTCTCTTTAACTTTTCTATTTTGCATCCCTCAGGATTTAATAAAAAATGAAGGTACATTTTTAAAGAGACACAACGACTGTTACGAAGGAAAATTTAGTAAATAAATATGATCATAAATTAATTGCATTATCAAGGATCATCTTATTAAAATGGAGAATAGCTTAAGAAAAAAAAGCAAAATCATATATCTTAATATGATCACACGAAAGTATAAGACAAGTGTTACATAACTTCAGTGATTTTATTTAGTTTCCTATTCCAGTATTCTATAATAAATTGAAAATCTCATTTTTCAAAACAAATTCTCATGATTTCATCATATTTATTCACTGAGCAATTTTTTTTAGTATTGTATTCACTATGAACTAGAGTCTCTTCTAGGTACTTACAACACAGGACTAAATAAAATAGACAAAAATTTCTAATGTTGACATTTATGTTCTAATGGAGCTAAGACAACATGTGTACTAATGAACACAATAGATAAATTCCTTAAATGTACCTAGTGCTTGGGAAAGAAAGAAAGCAGGTTGGTGTGGTTCTGAGACCAGAATGAAAGGACAGTCCCTGTAGATAATGAATGCTTGGGTCAGGAAGATGGGGGCTGATGCAAAAGAAATTAAAATGCTAATACCTCCAGTGCACTTTACCCTCCTCCAGAATGTTGCCAAGATTACCTGCGTCCAGGGAATTATTCCTTCCAGTAAGGAGTTTCTAATGAATACCTCCTGGGCAGCTCCCTTCCTGACGACACCCCAGGATGGCTCCTTTCCCTGTCCTTGGTTACTCCAACTTTTGGTCTAGTAGGCAAGATAAGAGGAAGAGGGGGCGTGAGAAGAATGGAAATCTGAAATCTATAAAAGGGGAAGGACACTCCCACCCCCTCAGGCACCAGCTTTGGGCCCCATCCTCTATGGAGCTCCCACACACACACACACTCTGTTCTACCCTTTAAATAAAACTTTTTGTGCTTGCCTCAATGTTTCTCAGGTGTTCAGTCTTCAACATTCGGGGGTTTGGAGGGCATGGGGGTGCAGATGGCACACAGGAACCTGTTCCTGATTTATTTTCAATATGGTATCATCTCTGGTTTCAGTTGGACAGAGTGAGCTGAAGAACAACAGGGTTTGGAGACAAAAATGCAACAGGGCTGGACTCATGGTGGGCTTTGCAGGCCATTCATCATAAAGGCTCTGGCCTTAGTCTGAATGAAATGAGGAGATACTCATGTTAAGGCAGATGAGCAACGATGTCTCAAGTAAATATTCTTATAAGATTACTACAACATGAGATCACAGAACTAAAGAAAATTATTTGTAACCTTGATTTTTCTTCCCTTTAGACACCTGAAGAATTACATAATTTGTTTGGTTAAGTGGAAAGTTCTGAAACTTACAATACTGTTAGGTAAAGAATGGATTCAAATATGTAAAATGAAAAGGTATACAAATCATATAAAAATGTGCCAAGATATCATGAAATTGTTTAAAAAAATAAAATATAGGTGGAATGACTCCATCTCTCCTTTTTTTCCCAGAAGAGTCTCCCTCCTTTTCAGCTCCTGATCCTCACTTCACTCCTGCTTTGTCCTCCAGATCTCAACACATTTGCCTCCAGGAACATTCTGAGATTAGCCGTTTCAGAAGACACATTATCCCCTTCTCTCTGTCTCAGCCCAATTGGAGCTAGAGGTTTAAGGATAAAGGAAAAGATACTGTATCTCAAAGGAAACTTGCATGAAATACTGGAATGCAAAAAGCACCCAGGAATAACTGCAATTTCTGTGCAGCAGGTGCTTGGCCCTCACCTTTGTGCAATGCCTTTGTAACAGCAGAACAATGTGCAAGCACAGAGAACACTGGTTGAAAAGTGTCCTGCTCTACCTCTAGTCCAGCCCCTAGAAACCATTCAGTATGTATAGATATACATACTGATACCCCACACCAACAGATTGCTTTCTCTCCCTCTGAAGACAGCCTCCATTGTCCCTTGAATGAGTATTCCTTGATTTACCAAAAAAGTGTCTCTTGAATTTGCCCCCATTCTCCCTTTAATGTGTATCTACTTCCTAAATAAACCTCCGTCTATGCCTTTAACTGGCTCGTGCTAAAATTACTTCCACCAAGTATGCCAAGAACCCTGTGGGTTCTGAGTTGATTTTCTCCTTCTCTCTGGGAATTCCAATGAAGCTTCTTTAGAGACATGTTTTCTCTTGTGACAAACTTACTTCATTTATTTGCTGTAAAATTTCTTTCTTTTTTTTTTAATTGGTTGCTCAAGACAATACAATGATCTTGACATATCATACATTTGATTCAAATGGTGTATGAATTCTCATGTTTCCACGTGTACAGATTGCAG